CCGGGCATGGCTCAGTCCTTCCCCTCTCTCCCTGCTCCTGCCGCGGCCACAGCGGCCAAAAGTTTGCGCTGCTGCAGCGCTGAGCGCTCGGATCGCATCTCTCCCTGCGCTGCTTTGGGTCTCAGCAACTTCCCATTGTAGTTCCAGCCTCGCAGCTTCACTTTTCCAGCCGCGCGCGTTTTAAAGGCTGTAGAGTTCTCTTTAATGTTAGCCCCTCAAAAGTTTTAGCCTCTTTACAGCCGCTTGTCCCCTGCCCCCTGCGATTTTTATGACTGCTGATATTGTGACTTTGTTCTCCTGTGTGAGGAGCAGCAAACCCGTGAAACCAGTTTCACTTTCAGGTTGTTGCTGGAAATGTTTTAAAGTGCAGCAGTTTCTGCTCTAGTGTGTGGCTTCAAAAATTAAAACTCCTATTACAAAGCCTATGCAGATTGTGGTGAACTCTTCTCCGTGTGAAAAAAAAAAAAAAAAGTCATTTATTTTAAAATCACTATTAAAATGTGGGTGGTAAACGTTGTGATTTCTCACATCTAAGCCCAACTAAAGCTGAAAGCTGCAGGGTAATGATCTGTATTTTAAATTACAATTAGTTTGCAGGTTTAAGGATCTGCATTTACTTCTAATATTTGTTTAAAACAGTTGTTTCAACTTGTAAGGGATGGAATAAGAAGTCTTTAGGAGAGTCTAATCTGGAGCAATAAATGGGAGCTAAACCAATATATTCCTTTAGAAAAGTGCTAAAACTTGATAGATCATCTGTCTTCACTCATTGCATTTCCCCAGGGATTGTTGTGTGTGCTGTAGGGAGCCTTAGCAGAGGGATATTCTCTCCTTTGTGGAAGTTACTGTTCATGCCACAGGAATAGTTCAGGTTTTCTTGGAGACTGTGGGTTTGTGCCTGTGCACAAGACTGGAAATAAGAAATCTCCTTGTTCCCCAAAGAGTGAGGTGACTCTGGCAGCAATGCTAACCTGCACTGAAGTTCCCTCTCATTGCCTTTCATTTCTCTTACCTTCTAAAATTTGATTTGATTTTGCAAGGCTTTTGATACCTTCTGCAAACCACTTCTGCATTCCCTCATTTCTCAGGTAAGTTTGTACACTCTGGGCATGTGGGATAGTTGGATGAATCTGGCTCTGAGCACATGGAATGAGTTCAGGTGGTGAAGACTTTGGTTTTGGGTTGGTGGTGTTTTTTGGGTTTTTTAGCATATAAGTTTGTTGGTTTGTTTAATTATTTTTTTAAATGGTAACACAGTGTTTAAAGTGAAGTATTTGCCTCTTCCAGATATTCCTGTAAGGGCTTTGTAGAAACATAATGGAGTTTGTAACAGATTTTCAGTTTTCTCAAAACTGGGATATTTCACATATTAATCATCACACCCCCCTCCAAAATTGCCTGCTAATTTCATATATTTTTTTATGAAAGAGTCTCCCCTCTTGTGTGAAACCCCCTGGGGAAGAGGCTATGGACAAAACCATTGGCAAACAGCAGAAACTGGCTTCAGACAAAATGCTGTCATACATAGCAAATGAAGAGACAGGAAAAAACATTTCTGTAATTTTCCAGCAGAGATTTTACTTATAATAAGAGTGGAAGGCACATTTCCAGATAGAGGTGAGTTGCTTATATAAAAAAAGTAAGTTTGGTTGGTTCTGATTTCCAGGAATCCCAAGATGTTTAGCTCTGGGGGTTTTTGTTTGTTTGTTTTTAATGAAAGCTGAAAGTATGTTTTCTTTAAATTGGTACCATGTTTGAATTTTCTTTTTTTTTGGTCATGCTATGAGGCACAATTAGGCTTCAGTTCCACAGGGACAAGCTGGTATTCTGCAGTCAATTATTCTGGCCAGCTTACACTCTGAAGAGTTGTAATAAATTAGTTCCATCCTCTTGTTTCCTTAATGCTGACATCCCGAGCTAAAGCTGAGCTTGTGGCGTAAAACATTCATCCACTTTGGGAAACAAAAGCTGTGCATCAATTTCAGTCCCCACACAGAAATACATGATGGGAAATGCACTGTCTGTCAAGGATATGTGATTAAAGTCAATCTGTCTTAGCACAGCCCCTTGGCTTGAAGGTTGTGGTGACCTCGTTGTTGACCTTGGCCTCAGATACCATCTGTCCACACTTCTGTCACGTTTTGGGGGGTTAGAGCTGAACATAGGAAGTAAATCCTCTCTCTACAGATGCTCATGGGCCTTTGTTGAGCTACAGCTCTTGTGCTCAGAGCCCTAAATTGCTGCTGTTCCAAATTCGAGCCCCAAATTGATTCAGTAATACCAACCACCACTTGGAGTGGTTTGAAACTCTTCTGTGACTGTTTTGGATCATCCTCCTGTGGCCACATGCACTTACCTGGGGGCAAGAGGTTTGGTTACATCATAATGAGGTGTTTGTGTTGCAAGTTTTGACCTTCAAAGTGCTTTCTCATAAATTTTGCCAATACTTGAGCAGAGTCTTCATCAAGACACTGAAGCCATTGATGTCTAATGAACATGAAATGGTTTTGTTTGGTGTTTTGGCCATGCATTGTTCACCCTTTGTGACCAATATTTTATGCTGTAAGAGTAGTTATTACAGTTAAAGAATGTTGTGCTCTTATGTGCTGATTCAATTCAATGTGTCTGTGTGTAAGAGTATGTGTTAAGAGACTGAGAAACTAGTTATTTTCTTATTTGCTTAGCCTTCCTGCTTTTAGGGAAACCGGTTTCCTTAACTCTATTCTTTTATCATACCATTTGCCTTATGTAATGGTTAATTAAGAGTATTTCTTAAAAATGCTCTGTTGCCAAGTATTCACGGGGAGGAGAAGGAAGAACAGGAAAATGGGAAGTTGGGCAGAATAAGAAAGCAGTTCTTGAGAGTTCCTTTCTCCACCCATCCCTTCAATCAAGAAAAGCATGCAAGGAAAACCCCCAAGCAAATAGTGCACAGGATAATTTGCCAGTGCTGCTCACCATAGGCTTTGTGTGTTGCTCTGACTGAAAAAAACCTTCCCTGTGGAGGAGCCAGAAAACTTACTTGGAAAATCAGCCTTAGCCAGTATGGCTAAAAGTTTGTCTTGTTCTCTTGTTTGTGCATTGCTTCTGCTTAATGTACTCTAGTAGACTGTTAGTGGTGAAGTCACTCAAGCTCCTGCTCTTGGGCACTAACCAGCTGCACAGCTCTGTGTTTTACACAAGCCAAACTGCTGCTCCAAGCAGGCTCTGTGCATAGGCAGGATGCTGTTCCCTCTTTTGTGAGGAGGTGAAGAACTCTGCTCTGGTTCTGTTCTGAGCAAAATGCAGCCTCTTCAGCATGCTTTTCAGTGCTAAGTCTGGCTTTGAAGAGTAGGAAACTGGTTTGTTGTTGGTTTGGAATGGTTTTTGTTTGTATACCTGTTTTGGGAAGTTGAGGCCCTGCAGCTGCTGTAATGAGCTGCTGCTGCACCAAAGCAGCTGCTTTGTCTTGGTTGTAGTTCTGTTTGAGGCATAAATTCTCTATTTTGTAAGGTTTTGACCTTTGAATTCAGAGCTATCCCCCAACTTTTTTCCTGTTTCAGATGTTAGAGCTCCTGTTCTTTTGTACAGTCCATCCAAGCTCTGCAGGAAGGTTATTGAAGCTTCCACATGTTGTTCGCTTATTTCTACAAATGTTTCGTTTCAACATGTGTTAAAAAGAACCTCAGTGGTGTTTATTACCAAAATAGAAATGTTCTGAGCTGCTCTAGCGAAATTCCAGCATAGGTATTTGCATATCATCTTCCCTAACTTCCACCTACTTTTGTGCTTTGTATTTTTTTTTCTTGCAAACTTTACTTTTTTGAAGTCTCACACAATGTATTTTGAGTAGTTTCCCCAGAATGGCAATCCAGATAATAGCTATAAATTAATATTAAGAGTGTCCTACATAAATTATCTGGTAAATGTGGTCATTTTCTGGCAAAAGCTTGGATACAGATGTTTTATAAGACCACAGTATTATTTAACTCAGTAAGCAGAGCTGCTGTTTTGAATTGCAAATCTGAGTTACAAAAATTCTGAGTCAGCATAATTTGGCCAAATACTAAGTAAATGGAAAGGTGATATATGACACTTGTTTTGACAGTGTAGTTCAACTCAAAAACTTGGTGATTGCTACTTAGGAACTCGTATAATGCTGAAGAATTATTTTTGTGGTACAAGGCCCAATGTTCCATTTAGAAAGAAAATATTTTCCTTCTCATCTGTGGATGTTTGGCAGAGAGGGCTTAGCAAGTAATAGTGAGGTTCTAAATGGATGTGATGCACAAGAGCAACAAAAAGAGCCAACTGCACTGTTTCTTGTCACCTCACACTGTGCCTCCAGCCTGCTCTGTCCTTCACCTCACCCCCAGCTTCCCATTTCTCCCTTCAGCTTCCCCTGCAGCGGGAGCAGAGCTGGCTGTGCAGGGTCTCTGCTGTAGCACTGGGAGTTGGAGGGATTGGGAATAGGCTGCACTTCAGTTCCTTCTGAGCTGCCACAGCTCTGCCAGCAAATCCCTTGGGCAAAGCACACTGCCTTGTGGGTCTGGAATGGCAAAGGGATGTGCTGAGACTGCCTTGTGCTGCAGCCTCTGCTAAAGCCATAGACTCATAGCTTGCTGTGGGATGAGGGCCTAATCTCTTAGTGAAATCAGATCAGCTGACTTGTGGAGGATGAGGGAATGAGGAAGGAGATCCTGCTGTGTGCTCTGACACACCACTAATATCTCCTGTAAAACCTCCCAGGCATCATGGCTGTTGGGAGTGGGTCATAGGGAATTGCAATTTATACCTTAGCAGAGACTGTGGTCAGGGAAACTTAAATATTGTGAGATACTAAGGAGTTCTTGAAACCTTGAGGAAGATGACTAGTTTTCATCTACTGATCTGAAAATTGCTGGCAGCAGGGCACAGTATCCATGGCAACGTTGTGCTCAACTTCTGCCCGAGGCTGCACACACGTGCACACACAAACAAGGCTCTGGTGCTGCTCCTTTCTCCTGAGGGCATCAGGTACAGGTGTGACTGCTGCCAGGGCAGGGCTTTGTTCTGCCATGGCTCAGTCTTGGCTCTCACCATCACCACCAGTGCCCTGGGCACTGCAGGAAGGTGTCAGTGCCTCCAGGGCTTGTCAACTGCTGCCCTATCCTAAGTTTTTTTGGTTAATACCCTAATAATCCTTACTGCATTTTGAATTTGTGGCTGAGGAATGTGCATAATTAACATTGCACTGGCCTTTTTTTGTTGTTTTGTTTCAGAGCCACTTTAAGTGTTCTAAATTTGTTTGCTTTCTTGCTTAACCTTTTGTGCTTGCTGGGGTTTATTGGGATTTTTTTTTCCCCCTCCAGTAATTGCATGCTAGGACTGGGTCAGTGTGGAAATCGGTTTTCCCTTTTAACTGTTAGGAAATCCTTGGATAATAGGATTTATTCAGATTGCAAAGAGAGTAGAGAATATAATAATGAAGGGATAGCATGGCAGAAAAAGGCTCAGATGAGATCCAACAATAAAGATGTTCAGGCATATACTCTCTAGGAAAGGGATTTGGGGAATTACTGTGATGAAATCTTAAAGCTATGAATCCAAATGCAGTTTAAGAAGGAAAAGCCCAATCACACATTATTTTTCTGTCTACACTGACTTTTAAATAAAACTAGCTCTTGGAAAAGGAAGGAGAGGCAAAGGCTTTCTTAATTTCCCTTCTGTTTTCTTGGCTGTGCTGCATTCTCCTAACTTGTGCTTCTATTGTAGGATTTTTCTTTGTTTTGCCTTTATCTGTTATTTCCTCTTAAGCTTAGCAGAGACTCTTGAGGATTGTGGAAATACTTTGAAATGTTTAAAATATTTTTTTTTAGCCTAATGAGGGCAGCTCATGTAGCAGGAGCTTTGTTTCAGCAGAGCTGTGCAGGATATTAATAAAGTGAAAATTGTCACTGTATCAAAATGCTCACGTGCCTCAGAAAAAGTGCATCACTTAATCTATTGCTCCTCCAATGTCTTTGCTGGTAATTGCTCAACTGTTCTGTGTTCTTCAAAACTGTATGTTTTTACCTGACTTCAGATTTTTTTTTTGTGGTTATAGAAAGATTATTACGTAACAAGTTTTTTTGTATATGACAGTGGCAAATTAGTCACCTTTCCATCTTTCAGCAGTTGTACAGACCCTATTGCCATAGTAACTGAGCTGTTCCCAATCGTTAATGTGTTAATCCCCCAACATCCCGGGGAGGTGAGAGGTGTTCCTGCCTCTCTCAGGAGCCCCTGGAGCACAGGGAGGCTGAGTGATTTATGGAGGATGCCACAGGCCAATGGGAGCAGAGATCCTCTCATTCCTCTTCCTGTGCTCTAAGTGCCCCCTTGGTTGAACTGGCTTTTCTCTGCCCAGCTTTTCAAAGGAATGAATTTCAGTGGAATTGGCTGCAGCCATCTGGAATGTGCTCATTTGCATATCAGATCCCTGTGGCTGTCAGCATTCAGCACATCAGGTTTAATGAACTCTGAAGATCCCAAGGAAGAGAAATGTATGGACAGTTACTGTGTATTTTCAGTGGGTTGTGAGATAGATTTTTCATCCTGTACATCACAATACCAGAAATTGGCCAGTTTTAATTATACCAATGCTCATTTAATTGGCAGTACTTGGCTCATGTCTGTGCTGAGAGAGCAGCTCCTTACAGCATCTGCTTTTGAAGACTGACCTTTGAAACTTTTTAAGCTTGACTTTGAAATATTTGCATTCAGAATGTTCTGCTATTCCTTGGGGTTTCTCTTGTTTGGTTGTTTTTGATCTTTAGACAGAACATACTTCACGAGTGGAAAGGAAACGCCGAGACTCGTTCGGGATGTTTGACGGTTATGATAGTTGTAGTGAGGACACCAGCAGCAGCTCCAGTTCAGATGAGAGTGAAGAGGAGGTTGCTCCTTTGCCATCCAGTCTCCCAATTGTCAAGAACAATGGGCAGGTTTATACGTACCCAGATGGCAAATCTGGCATGGGTGAGTATGTGGGGTGTGAGTACAGCGAGTTGGGTATTGATGTGTTTCAGTCTGTGCTGTGAGCTGTGAGGGTCCAGTCCCAAACATGATCTCAGCTGAAGAGAGGCCAAACCAGCTGATGGGTTGGGGTCAGTTTGCATTGGGAGGGGGGAATTGTTTGGGTGTTCCTAGACTGAAATAATAGGGTTTGAATCCTGATGGCAGGAAATAAATAGTATGGAAACATCTGCCCTCCCATCAGATGTGTGCTGTGTGTTCCTGCATGTGCATTTGTGTTCTCATGTGCTTTGGTTTTAGTCTTTGAGCTTTGAGGAAAATGTCAGTGTGTTCTCTCTATGCCAGAGCATCCATTGTCTCTGCCCTTTATGTTGTATAAACAATATATTTTGAAGTATTTCTTCCTGTACTAGGTAAACTTCGTTACTGCTACTGTACAAAGCCTGTTAGTGTGTGCCTGATCACTCCCCACTGGCTGTGAGCTAGAATATACCGAGGAAACAAATTTCAAAAAGAAGATTGCTTTTATTATTGGGGAAGAATATTTTATCCAAAATCATTGGTGATGAGTAGAGCTCTCTCTGGGTAGAATTTTAGTATTGCCTCACTGGCATAAGTTGGTCTTAACATCTTACCATGGAATGACTTGGTGGGTGATGTTGTCCACTTCTGAAGCATATGATTCCAGCCAGAGGAGAATATTGGTGAGCTGGGGGACTTTGAATCTACCAACTTATGAATCAGAAAAAGAGATCTGGTTCTATTTCAGGTCGGAAGTATTAAATATGTTGAGGAAATCAGGATTGGCAGGCCCAGATTCAAAGCAGATGTTTCCTTTAGAACCATGAAAACACAAATCTGCTTTAGCTGATTTAGCTGGGTCATTCCCTCCTACCAGGGGTAAAATTCCTAGGAAGCAGACAGGAGCCACCCTTTCACCAGTGAACTTGAGGTTCCTGGTGTTCCTATGACATTTGTGGTGGTGTTTTAAACGCTAAATTCTTTTTCTGTGCTATTCTCTTCAGGGTCAAACCCTCCAAAACTGTTTGGTGGTGCCACCTCCACGACCTTCATTGTGTCATCCTCGTTCTGAATTTTGACTGAGGTTTTTATTACACTCCTAACATTTGGCTTTTCCTCTCCTCTGACTAGCTACATGCGAGATGTGTGGAATGGTTGGTGTCCGTGACGCTTTTTACTCTAAAACAAAACGCTTCTGCAGCGTGTCCTGCTCCAGAAGCTACTCCTCCAACTCCAAGAAGGCCAGCATTCTGGCCAGGCTTCAGGTAGCGGTACAGACCCCGTTTTCTTTACCTTCTTACTGTGTTTGTGAAGCATGTGCATTTGCAGAACTTGTTTTAAGATAAGTTTCTTAACACGTTGACATTCTCACGTAAGCGATTTTAAGCCAAAACTGTGTCGGTAGTGAACAAATGACTTTGCTGAGCAGAGCAAGTCACAGAGAAGATTCACTCCTTAATTAATTTCTGCTGGAGTGGCCCTTCTGCAAGAAAGATCTTCAGTCTACATATGTGGTTTGAAATTCCATGTATCCCATACTTAAAATCCTTTTTGGCTTTAGAGAGGATAAAGGTGATTGTAGCATTATTGTGTTGCATTGGCTGCAGCAATCTGGGGCCACTGCCAGACATGGGAATAGGTTGCAGTGATAGTGCTGGTGGACAATTGGAGTTGATAATCTTAAAGGTCTTGTCCAACCTCGATGATGCTACGATTTTTTGAAGCTTTTCTTAACTGTATAGATCTGCTAAATAGAGGTTTTTGCCTTCACTTAAAATATTGATCCAATCATCATCAAGACATATTGGTAACATTCAAGAGAAGATGCAGAAATGTCAAGAAATATCATTATATCCTATCTCAAATTTATGGCAATAAATGCCAAGAACTTGCATTGGTGTAAATGAGATGAAAAGTTCTTCACTTTGACCTGTTTTTTAAAGATATCTTTTTTTCAGGTAAACTACAGTGAATCTGTAATGCTGTTCAAGTTGGAATACTAGTACAAAAGTCATCTTTTGGACATTCTTTGCTACTGGTTTTTCAATTTATTTTATATTACATCTAGTTTTGTGAAACTTAGTCAACTTCTGTTCTGTGTTGTTCTAATTTTAGTTAAATCTACCACCAATATGCTACAGACCTGTGGAAATTTCCTGATGAGAGTTTGGAAGGGTGGTATTTACTTAGCTTTTCTTGTTGTTTTTAGGGTAAACCTCCAACAAAGAAGGCTAAGGTTCTACAAAAACAGCCCTTAGTGGCTAAATTAGCTGCATATGCCCAGTACCAAGCAACGCTACAAAACCAGGCAAAGACGAAAGCAGGTAACAGCAAATAAACAGCACTGAAACCAAAATACTGAAAGATTTGTGACTCATTAGCAGCTTCCTAAATAAAATTACTTTCTCTTAGCAGCTGTCCCTGTGGAAGGTTTCAGCTGGGGTAACTACATCAATAGCAATAGCTTTACAGCAGCTCCTGTTACCTGCTTTAAACACGTAAGTGCTCCTCAGTGTGTGCTTCTCTTGGGTGTGTGTGGATGAGTGAAGTGAGTCCGTGGTAATCCTTGAATTTGTGTCTGCATAATATTCATATCCAAATATGTTTCATGGCCTCTGAAACTTACATTGCCATCTGTGTTATATGACAACTTTTCAGATAGACATGTTTGTTTGCATCTGTCCGTTCTGAACACCCATCAGTTACTCTCATTTAGGTGTTCTCATAACCACAGAAGAAGTAGAAGGAGGACTCTTAAAAACACTTGTGAAGAGTGCTCAGGCATTGGAATGTGCTGCCCAGGGAGGTGGTGGATTCGCCATCCCTGGAGGTTTTCAAGCTGAGACTGGATGTGGCACTTAGTGCCATGGTCTAGCAGCCATGATAGGGTTAGACTCAATCTTTGAGGCCTCTTCCAACCTGGTTGATTCTATGGTTCTATGATTCTCACATTCAAGGCACAAAATCATCCAATGCACTGCAAACTAACAAATCACCCCAGTCACACTGTACCAGAAAAAGTTGGAGAAGGGTTTTTAGATTGAATCAGGTTTGCTCTGTTTGTTGAACTGATCTTTTGGTTACATATTTGGATTTGGGATTTTTTTTCCTTAGTTTTTAGTTAGATTCTCTCTGTTGTGCTGTCAGTGTAGAAATAGAGGACAATGAAGGCTTTTTAGAATTCTGAAATTAAAATGGTTGGTTTTCTTTGTATTAGAGTTGCAACAATTCCAGACAAAAAGACATTCTTTAATCACTGAGGAAATTAGGGGATGAGGACGTACATATTTGGATTTGGGATTTTTTTTCCTTAGTTTTTAGTTAGATTCTCTCTGTTGTGCTGTCAGTGTAGAAATAGAGGACAATGAAGGCTTTTTAGAATTCTGAAATTAAAATGGTTGGTTTTCTTTGTATTAGAGTTGCAACAATTCCAGACAAAAAGACATTCTTTAATCACTGAGGAAATTAGGGGATGAGGACGATATTTAGCTCCAGACAAAAAGACATTCTTTAATCACGGAGGAAATTAGGGGATGAGGAAAATATTTAGCACCATCTCTATTTAATGTGTTTGTTAAATTCCAATAATTAGACCTTGTTAAAAGTACTGTCAACACTTTCTGCCTCTTAAGTAAATCATCCTGACAGAAAGTGTTTTCTCAGCATATTTTTTTTTTATTTGGGAAGTCAAAGTGTTCCATCTTACCATTTTTTACTGAAAATTATCTGCTGAAAGTTGCAATCAAAACAAACATTTTGTTTCATGGAAGTTATCCATGAGAGAGGAGAGAGACATATTCTGTGTCCAGCCCTGGAATTCATGCTGAGCCCTGTCAACTCATAAATCAGTAGGAGCTGAGGGCTCCTGGCAGTTGGCACTTTGTGAATAGTTCCCTTTATGCTCAGAGGCCTTAACTGCTGCCCAGAACAGGACCTTGTGTTAGTATAGCTCTGGGAATTTGTATCCAATTCCACGTGCTCAGGGCAGTGTGTTTGCATTTGCCTTTCAGTTATGTACATGCTAGAGTAGGTAATTTCATAAGTCTATATTATAAAGTATTGGTTGATACCAAGATTGTTATTGCTGTTGTGACAACAAATGCTTCATCATCCGTGGAATCTGTAAGCAGCTACAATAGTTAGGTCACTTGCAAATTATGCTGCAACATTCTTTGTGAAAAGGAGTTGTATCTTCCTTCCTTACTGCTTCATTTGTGGAGCTGGATGGTGCACCAGGAAGTGATGCCACACTAATGTTGACATTTTACATTGAAAGTTTTCCGAGCCTACATGTCAACTGTGCTACTGAGCCTGAAGGTTGTTTCTTTTCTGTCCCCGTTTTCCCTTTTTATACAAGTAAAAAAAAATCCTGCAGTTTCCTTTGGAGATTTCTACTTCTTTGGTGGACATGAGTTAGTGTTACAGCGGTGTGATTTTTCATTTAACTTCACCATCATTATTTCTTTGAAAAATAATGATTTAAACCAGTCAGAATCCTAAAACACATTTGTGCTCTTGTCATATCTTTCACTGTCCCACTCTCCATTGATAATTAACCAATACTCTTTTTGTCTCAGTGGAAAGATCATTCCTGTGTTCTGTGTACTGTATTGCTTTGATCTGTAAAAGTTTGTGTTAGTTGCTGTTTGTTTTACCATCCTTTTGGTGGATTCCATACATGTTGTATGTATGTGATGGAAAATACAAAGCTCGTTGTGGTCAAAGATTTGAATTGACAGTGAAATAATGACATATCTACTCCTGAATTTGTTGCTCAATAAAATATATTGAATTTACTGGCTGTACTGGGGTTATCTGTTAGGGAACATGGGGATTAATATTAAAGAAAATTTAAGGGACTTATGAGATTCGGCTTATTGATTAGTTTTTTAATAACCTGGAAAACTTCAGTATCTCAGGTCTGATGTAGATTTCCCACATCACTGTTTCTGTTTTGGCTTTTTTTCCTGGGAAATTATTTCCTCTTCCAATTTAAAACAGTTGCATTTTAGAATTCAAACATCTAAATCTTGGAGGTTCTCTGGAACTCTTTCTCTTTATGAGAAGAATTGATTTCAAAGTATTTTGACACACTTCCCTTTCTTCCACTTTCTTTCTTCCACCTGAATTTTATTCTGAGCCAAAATATTTTCATTCTCTTGGTTTCTTGTGTTACTAAAATACGAGGTTAGACTGAAGGGAGTGTTTCCAGGGTTTTACACTGGGTGGCAGTGCTTTGCTTTCAATTTTTTGTTTTAATCCCTTTAGCACATTGTCTCCTCTGGCATTACCTGCCATTGGGGCACTGCTCACACACGAGATTTCAACATTCCTTACACTTCAGGAATGGCAGCATCACTTTGCCATTAAAATCAATCCTGGTTTCATTTGAAGTCTGCAATCTTTGCAGTGTTGGTGTCATTCAAAACCTTTAGCAGCCACTTGTGTAACCCATGAGGTCTTGGTTCAGCTGGGCATGTGGGGATACTTGGCCTTGAGGTGCTCCCATCAAACAGGACCTTCCTGATTGCACCTTACCTTGCAGAGAAGGCACCTGCTGCTCCCAGACCCTCCCAGGTCATCTCCTGGAGCAGGAAGCCATGAACCAGATGTTCCTTGTTTGGGAGTGATGTGAAGTGGATCTCGTCATGAGTCTGAAAGGTAAATTTGTTCTTACCTGTAAATTATGGTTCTGCTAGTTCACACTATGCCAATCCAAACTTCAGAGCAAGCCTTGATTCACTAATGCGATGAAGACAGGAGAGGTGAAGGAAGTGGCTGTTACAGCCCTGGTTTATCCAGTCTCCCTCCCTTGAGAGAGTTGCTCACGAGTGAAAAAGGCCACGGTGGTGCAGTGTGTCAGGTGTGCTGTAAAGCATCGCTCAGGACAGTCACGGCTGGCATTTCAGGAGTGATGCTGCACAGGGTGGCTTCCTCCTGCTGAGGGATGAGCCATATGGATTGGTGTAGGAGAACTAGCAGAACCACTATTTTCACAGACAAGGACAAATTTAACTTTCTGCTATTTCCCTCTATACCAATCCACGGTCTAGAAATAACAGTTTGTCACGTTTCCATTATGGCTTGATGTCAGGAGAAGTGTTTTGATACCCTTCTCTCTCTGAATCAACTGAATAGATGAGCAGGCAGTAAAATATATTTCAATGGAGTGCAGCTGGATTATAAAATTATTCAGCAGTGCATTTTTGTGATTGTTTGGCCTCATCTGTATCCCTGTACAAGGCAACAAGATTTGCTAAAATGTGCAGTTTGAAAAGTTGATTTCCCCAATTCAGTTCAAAAACCTACACCTGTCAGTTCAAAGATGATAGTGAATAAGGGATAGGGCGTAAGAAGTTGTATCTGTATGTTCTGTGTGTGAAAATAAGCCATTTTTCCTCTCTGGCTGCCAGTTGGCAGAAGAGCTCTGTGGTCTATGCTGGTGTAGATGGGACATAGCAGAACATGAAGAGACCAGGCTTCAGGAATAAAAACTGACAGAACTGTAACAACTTAGATTTCCTGTAAGAGTTAAAACGACTTTTAAGTTTTGCATGCCCAGCCTCACCTATTTCAACAAGTTCCCTTGTTAAGATAAGTTTGGCTTTTAGTGCTACTATGTGGCTAGTGCTGATTGCTAGCAAAATTCTAACTCTGATTTCCAATCATTCCAGGCTAGTCCAGATTTCTTCACTTGTGGCTCTCAGTCAAAATTTGGTTAAGTCACCCAGTGAGTGGTTAAGTTCTTTAGGTTTGCAAAGAGCTTTGTAAACAGACATGGCATAGAACACTCCACGCACTGTGGTGCAGGCCCAGAGGATCCCTTTGGTTGTCCCTGTGATGCTGGATAATCTCTGAAGGGATAAGAATTGATTTTTTTCTCAGAACACGTTAGAAATTATAAGACTCTTGTTCTAAAATATCCCAAATCCCAATCTTTCCCTTCTTGGTGGACTCAGGTTTAATGCAGACTGAGTCATTTTCTCGCTTGTTACCAATATAACTTCAGTGGAGAAACTGTTAAGGTTGTAGATTCCTCTGTGCATTTCTGGTATCTCTGCAGTCCCATCTTTGTCTTTTCATGATGCTCCAACAAAATGTTCTTCATGAGATAGCAAACTAAATGCAGCTTCTATCAGCAGCTTCTATGAGTCCTTAGGAGTTCCTCAAGCTTGACTTTCTTTTTGTTACTAACACCCAAGGCAGTGTGAGGACTCTAGCTGTGCATTTCCTTCTGGTGTTCATTAAAAAGATGCCACTGAGAGCTGCTATTCTTTTTGCTTGCTTGATGGAGTGATCACTTGCAGGTGATGTGAAAGCCTCTTCCTCTGAGAGGATGTGAACCAGTGGGTGATAACCCCCACCATAATAAATCATCAGGATAGAGTCAAGGAATAATTTCTAGGCAGTTTGGCAGGAATGTTTCTGATTTACAGAATGTAAAGATTTTAATGTCTGTGGTACAGACATGAATTTCAAGTACCATAATTGTAGAATTGCAGAGGAATTCCACCACTCTCCCTAAAATCAGTGGCTTGTACCTAGTTGAAACATGGTAGAATAAAGCTGTGAATATGTGCACATTGTGCTTGTGCTTAACAGCTATTCAAACTTGGAATGCTGTAGCTATTTTCAGTAAATACACAGGAATTAATGGATGCAATGACAATACTACACAGAAGCTTCAAATCAAAACCCAAGTAGGTTCTCATAGAGTTTTCTAAACATGTATTTGTCATATGTATATTGATTGTTTTGTCTTTCTAAGTCACTTGTAAAACACTAACAAAACCAGATTCTTTTCATGTGGTGAACTGGTGACTTTTTAACCCCAACCTTAAATGACAGGCACCCATGGGGACGTGCTGGGGTGATATCGCAGAGGGAGTGCGAGTGGAGGTTCCAAACACAGACTGCAGCCTACCTACCAAAGTCTTCTGGATAGCTGGAATTGTAAAATTAGCAGGTAAATACATTTCAGTGACTATCACGAAAATAATCAAAAGAACTGTGTGTGTGGAGCTAATAAGTTAGTGGGTGGTCGCCTGGTTAGTGCAGTGTTGTCAGAGCTGGGTCAGCAGGTTCTGTATTTTAGCTCTGTCACTGTTATCACTGTATCACTGTGTGGCTGCAGTGATGCTTGAGAATGCCTGTTCTGTCTTGGGTTTTTTGATACTGCCTCAGAGTACAGTGAGAGTGTCCTGTGCTCAGTGCTGGCCCTTCAGCTCAGGAGGGACATTGAGGTGCTGGAGCAGGTGCAGAGAAGAGCAACGAGGCTGGTGAAGGGACTGGAGCACAAGTGCCATGAGGAGAGGCTGAGGGAGCTGGGGGTGTTCAGCCTGGAGAAGAGGAGGCTCAGGGGAGACCTTCTCACCCTCTGCAACTCCCTGACAGGAGGTTGGAGTCAGGTGGGGGTTGGTCTCTTCTCCCAGGCAACCAGCAGCAGGACAAGAGGGCACAGACTCAAGCTCTGCCAGGGGAGGGTTAGGTTGGATATTAGGAAGAGATTTTTTTACAGAGAGAGTGCTCAGGCATTGGAATGTGCTGCCCAGGGAGGTGGTGGATTCACCATCCCTGGAGGTTTTCAAGCTGAGACTGGATGTGGCACTTAGTGCCATGGGCTAGTGACCACAGTAGGGTTGGACTCGATCTTTGAGGTCTCTTCCAGCCTGATTGATTCTCTGATTCTATGAGAGCAGTGCAGAGGAGAGAGGAGATTGTCTAACAGCTGGCAAGGAGCCTCATTACACGAGTCACTTTGCTTGGTAGAAAGTGAATTCAAGGTCACAGATCGAAGATACGAAAAAGCAGATAGTGTGGGAAATTAATTTCGTCCTCCTACATACAAATTCTGAAGGTTTCTACTTCAAGAATTTTAATTTTAATTAAAATTGATTTACATGATAGTTCGTGCACATTGATCAAAGTAATCCATTCTGTGCATTAACACCATGCACAAATGTGCCATAGGAATAATATTCTATCAAGAGTTATAGTCTAGGAAACCAATGTAATACACATCAGGGGTGGTAAAGAAATATTAATAGATAGTTTATCTTGTTTAATTTCTGTATTTTTTTAATGGGATTGCTTTCTTCCAGGCTACAATGCTCTGCTGAGATACGAAGGCTTTGAAAATGATTCAAGTCTTGACTTTTGGTGCAACGTTTGTGGGTCTGACATCCACCCAGTGGGTTGGTGTGCAACCAGTGGCAAGCCCCTAGTTCCTCCTCGAAGTATGTAAACAGCAGCCTTACTGATGGATATCAAAGTCTCTCTTTATTAAACTAAATTTGCTCATGGTCCAGATATCACAGTATTTTTTTTACCATAACAACTTTTTCAACAGTTATGAATAAATAACTTTAACTTGTGGAAAAATAACTTGACTGATGCTGAAAGTGTTTCTTGGAGTAGCCCATCTGATGCAACTTAAAAATCAAGGTGGAAGCAGTTAGCTAATCCTAAGTGATGGGAACATGCACTGATTTTATTTATCCTTTGCTATTAAATCCTTTGCCCTGACCCATAAACTTTAACCTTGGGTAGCATTCATTCTCTAAAGAGGTTTTTTGTCATTGTCATCCAGGCCTTTTAACAGTCATCTGGGATTTCTTCTTTACATATTCCAGACTCTAATATTGTCTCTAATGGACACAATTAAAAATCAGTGGCTTATTTTTTCCCCTTCATTTGCAACAGCCATCCAACACAAATACACAAACTGGAAAGCTTTTCTAGTGAAACGACTTACTGGTGCCAAAACACTTCCTCCTGACTTTTCTCAGAAGGTAAGGCTGATGCAATATCAATGATGTTCTGTAAACGAAATGGCAGCACAATGTGTGAAGAACTGAAATATTTTACCATGGCACATTAGCTCCTCCTATAGTGAAGGTGATACAGTAGTTTCTTCCCTTAGATACGGTTTTCCTTAAGGAATCTCTAAGCTCCAGTCAGTATGTATTTGGAAAACTTTTCTGTAGAAAAAAGTTTTCTTTAAAAACCAGGTAGCCTATTTGAATTTCAAAATGCCCCATTTAAGAAAAAACCCACAGAAAACCCAGAAGTGCCTCTGAGCTACCCTGTGATGTGTGAGGAAATGGGAAACTGACCCTTCTCATTCAGGAATGATTTTTATCATTCACTATTTCAAGAAACTGAAGAAAATGTGTTAATATAGCACAAATCTAGATGCAATAAAGCACAGACTTTTACATGTTAATAGTTTTCATCTGCTCTGGACTAGATTATTTTTTTTTCCTGTTTTTAAGTCATGTCTCTAAGTGTAGCAGCTGCTGTAAGTTGACTTTCTGGGATTGTCAGATGGTGCATATAATTTCTAGTAGTAATGTGAGACTTGTTGTTTCACACTGCATCTGAAGTTAAAACAAGCAAACAAAAAACCTTTCTGTAGTTGTTAATTTTTATTTACAAATTGGCTCAGTTAGGAGCCAAATGAATTTGGCAAGATCTCAACACTTTGGGGATTTCAGAGTGAAAGTGGCAAGTGATACCTGATTTTTAAACAAAATCTATTGTCACAAAGCAGATTAACTTCTCTTTTCATTCTCTTCCTTTCTTTTGTATATTATGAAGAAATATGTTTGTAAGTGGTCAGCTTTGATATGTTGAAGATTTGTTTTCCATGCCTTTCATAATGAAGTATTTTAATCCTGTTTTTAAAACACACTACTTTGAGTGAATGACAAAGCAAGAAACAAAAATCCTGAGGTGTTTTTTGGTTAAAATTGTTTCTCAAGGTAACTTGATCCATTAACAGCTGAACAAACTTTTATTATGTCAGTGGAAAATTCCTGTAACCTATGTGGGAATTGTATTAAGGATGAACTTGATACAATGAAAGCATTGTAGGATCTATTCTGCTTAGTGTTCTGAAACATTTTACTGTTCCCATGGGCAGAGAAATCACTTGTGTTGTGCAGGTTGGTTGACAAGTACTTGAATTAAGTGACAAGTGCATCAATACTGTGCTGTAATAGAGAGATGAATATGAAAAAACAGAGTGTGTCCTTACAGAATGGGTGTTTCTCTGTTATTTAAGGTGTCTGAGAGTATGCAGTATCCATTCAAAACTTCCATGAGAGTAGAAGTTGTTGACAAAACACACCTTTGCCGAACGAGGGTAGCAGTGGTAGAAAGTGTCATTGGGGGACGGTTAAGGTTGGTGTATGAGGAAAGTGAAGACAAAACTGATGACTTCTGGTGCCATATGTACAGTCCACTCATCCATCACATTGGTTGGTCTCGAAGTATAGGACACAGATTCAAAAGATCTGGTAAGTTCGTTGTGGTTTAGGGGTGGGTTGTGGGCAGTGTTGGCTGGGAGAAGTCTGACTTAAGGGACTCTTGCTGTAATAAAACTAACTTGGATCTTGAAAAATGAATATAATGTGACCTAAGGGTTCTGTCAATTATGTTACATTCAGGGGTTTCAGTTAAAATTATAATCAGTGCATTTTGCAGCGTTGGATAAGCCAAATTAACTTTCAAGTTGATTAGTACATGGATATCTGGAAGGATTCAATGCTAAGCAGTGGTTAACAAACTGTAGGCAGGACAACCTCCAACTGCAGAATTCAGGCATGGTAAACTTCCCTTTTTGTGCTGATACCTGCAATTACAGCTCTGCTCCACAAACTCTGGTGTCTTTGCATCTGTCTCTTGTCCAATGCAACATGGCCATGTATCCTGGCTGATACCTGCAATTACAGCTCTGCTCTACAAACTCTGGTGTCTTTGCACCTGTCTCTTGTCCAATGCAACATGAGCATGTATCCTATTAGATACAGAAACTTGCAGTTTAAGGGCTGACTAATATTTTCCTATTGCAATATTTGTGTTTTTGAGAGCATTAGGAGCTGGGCAGGAAGGCAAAGTGACACCAGAAGGTACACACAAAGTTGAGGCCTTTGCTCCCTAAAATGCAAAAGCACTTGTGATTTGAAATGCTGAAGGTTTCTAAACAAAAAGTCTGGATTTTTTTTAATACTTTTCTGTTGCACTGAGCTGGTGCCCCTTGTCAGAAACAGAATTTCTGTAAAGCATTCCACAAGGCATCCCTTCA